TTAGACCTCGCCATCCCTGGGGGCTGCGATCTGCGAAACTTCGCCATTTCGAGGCCTGCTGGGGGGCCCAGCACAGTGAGGGCCACGGGCAGATTCAAATGAGACCTCGCCATCCCTGCGGGGCTGCGATCTGTGAACCTGTCGCCACTTTCGAGGCCTGCTGTGATCCCCGTTTTCGAAGTGGCTAGGAGTGCTCAGGAATTGTAAATCATCAGCTTTATCAAGCCCTTTTCCTGTAGCCAGTGTCCTGCGAGTCTCCCGAATTCCGTCTGCAGACATATGTAACCCTCGCTCCGTCATCGCCCCCTTATAAAGTATCCTAAACTATTTGCGCCCCGCTTTTGCGCAGGGGTTGGGTACGTCGCCAGGGTAATGTATGTTTTTTGGAAACTCGATTGCGAAATCCTTCCGGCACCGAAGGTTTTTGAAGGATTCCGGCATGCGCGCGCGACGACGCGCGCGTGTGCACTTCGTCCCATGTTTTATAAGGAATTCACGAACAAGTATTAGGTTAGAACAATAAATGTCACAGCGTTTTTTTTTCCCCCCCAACCCTCCTTGGTTGGGTATTCGTTTTGAATAGAGCAGTGTGGTCGCGTCCTTCCTCCTCCCGCCTCCCGCCTCTTTCCTGCCTCTTTCTGTCTTGCCTGCGGGGGGCTGCGATCTGTGAAACTGTCGCCACTTTCGAGGCCTGCTGGGGGGTCCTGCATAGAGGGTAATCGCGGCGGATTCAAATTAGACCTCGCCATCCCTGGGGGGCTGCGATCTGTGAAACTGTCGCCACTTTCGAGGCCTGCTGGGGGGTCCTGCATAGAGGGTAATCGCGGCGGATTCAAATTAGACCTCGCCATCCCTGGGGGGCTGCGATCTGTGAAACTGTCGCCACTTTCGAGGCCTGCTGGGGGGTCCTGCATAGAGGGTAATCGCGGCGGATTCAAATTAGACCTCGCCATCCCTGGGGGGCTGCGATCTGTGAAACTGTCGCCACTTTCGAGGCCTGCTGGGGGGCCCAGCACAGTGGGCCAACGCGGCGGATTCAAATTAGACCTCGCCATCCCTGGGGGGATGCGATCTGCGAAACTGTCGCCATTTTCGAGGCCTGCTGGGGGGCCCAGCACAGTGAGGGCCACGCGCGGATTCAAATTAGACCTCGCCATCCCTGGGGGGCTGCGATCTGCGAAACTGTCGCCATTTTCGAGGCCTGCTGGGGGGCCCAGCACAGTGAGGGCCACGCGCGGATTCAAATTAGACCTCGCCATCCCTGGGGGGCTGCGATCTGCGAAACTGTCGCCATTTTCGAGGCCTGCTGGGGGGCCCAGCACAGTGAGGGCCACGCGCGGATTCAAATTAGACCTCGCCATCCCTGGGGGGCTGCGATCTGCGAAACTGTCGCCATTTTCGAGGCCGGCCTGCTGGGGGGCCCAGCACAGTGAGGGCCACGCGCGGATTCAAATTAGACCTCGCCATCCCTGGGGGGCTGCGATCTGCGAAACTGTCGCCATTTTCGAGGCCTGCTGGGGGGCCCAGCACAGTGAGGGCCACGCGCAGATTCAAATTAGACCTCGCCATCCCTGGGGGGCTGCGATCTGCGAAACTGTCGCCATTTTCGAGGCCTGCTGGGGGGCCCAGCACAGTGAGGGCCACGCGCAGATTCAAATTAGACCTCGCCATCCCTGGGGGGCTGCGATCTGCGAAACTGTCGCCATTTTCGAGGCCTGCTGGGGGGCCCAGCACAGTGAGGGCCACGCGCGGATTCAAATTAGACCTCGCCATCCCTGGGGGGCTGCGATCTGCGAAACTGTCGCCATTTTCGAGGCCTGCTGGGGCCCAGCACAGTGAGGGCCACGCAGATTCAAATAGACTCGCCATCCTGGGGCTGCGATCTGTGAAACTGTCGCCACTTTCGAGGGGGGCCCAGCACAGTGGGCCACGCGCCAAATTAGACCTCGCCATCCCTGGGGGGCTGCGATCTGCGAAACTGTCGCCATTTTCGAGGCCTTGCTGGGGGCCCACAGTGAGGGCCACGCGCGGATTCAAATTAGACCTCGCCATCCCTGGGGGGCTGCGATCTGCGGCTGCCAGAGGCCTGCTGGGGCCCAGCACAGTGATTCAAATAGACCTCGCCATCCCTGGGGGGCTGCGATCTGCGAAACTGTCGCCACTTTCGAGGCCTGCTGTGATCCCCGTTTTCGAAGTGGCTAGGAGTGCTCAGGAATTGTAAATCATCAGCTTTATCAAGCCCTTTTCCTGTAGCCAGTGTCCTGCGAGTCTCCCGAATTCCGTCTGCAGACATGTGTAACCCTCGCTCCGTCATCGCCCCCTTATAAAGTATCCTAAACTATTTGCGCCCCGCTTTTGCGCAGGGGTTGGGTACGTCGCCAGGGTATTTGTTTAATATAAAAAAGGGACCTCATGAGGGGGAAACCGGCTGGCATTTGACATTGCGATTTTATATTTAGGATGGACATGTGGTCAGAATCATATGTGATTTACATACCCGAAGGGGGGAGCGATAACGCCGGGAGGGGTAGAGTCTATTCTGTTTTTCCCAACCCTCCTTGGTTGGGTATTCGTTTTGAATAGAGCAGTGTGGTCGCGTCCTTCCTCCTCCCGCCTCCCGCCTCTTTCCTGCCTCTTCGTGTCTTGCCTGCGGGGGGCTGCGATCTGTGAAACTGTCGCCACTTTCGAGGCCTGCTGGGGGGTCCTGCATAGAGGGTAATCGCGGCGGATTCAAATTAGACCTCGCCATCCCTGGGGGGCTGCGATCTGTGAAACTGTCGCCACTTTCGAGGCCTGCTGGGGGGTCCTGCATAGGGTAATCGCGGCGGATTCAAATTAGACCTCGCCATCCCTGGGGGGGCTGCGATCTGTGAAACTGTCCACTTTCGAGGCCTGCTGGGGGGAGGGCCACGCGCGGATTCAAATTAGACCTCGCCGTCCCTGGGGGGCTGCGATCTGCGAAACTGTCGCCTTCGAGGCCTGCTGGGGGGCCCAGCACAGTCGCGGCAAATTAGACCTCGCCATCCCTGGGGGGCTGCGATTGAAACTGTCGCCATTTCGAGGCCTGCTGGGGGGCCCAGCACAGTGAGGGCCACGCGCGGATTCAAATTAGACCTCGCCATCCCTGGGGGGCTGCGATCTGCGAAACTGTCGCCATTTTCGAGGCCTGCTGGGGGGCCCAGCACAGTGAGGGCCACGCGCGGATTCAAATTAGACCTCGCCATCCCTGGGGGGCTGCGATCTGCGAAACTGTCGCCATTTTCGAGGCCTGCTGGGGGGCCCAGCACAGTGAGGGCCACGCGCGGATTCAAATTAGACCTCGCCATCCCTGGGGGGCTGCGATCTGCGAAACTGTCGCCATTTTCGAGGCCTGCTGGGGGGCCCAGCACAGTGAGGGCCACGCGCGGATTCAAATTAGACCTCGCCATCCCTGGGGGGCTGCGATCTGCGAAACTGTCGCCATTTTCGAGGCCTGCTGGGGGGCCCAGCACAGTGAGGGCCACGCGCGGATTCAAATTAGACCTCGCCATCCCTGGGGGGCTGCGATCTGCGAAACTGTCGCCATTTTCGAGGCCTGCTGGGGGGCCCAGCACAGTGAGGGCCACGGCGGATTCAAATTAGACCTCGCCATCCCTGCGGGGCTGCGATCTGTGAACCTGTCGCCACTTTCGAGGCCTGCTGTGATCCCCGTTTTCGAAGTGGCTAGGAGTGCTCAGGAATTGTAAATCATCAGTTTTATCAAGCCCTTTTCCTGTAGCCAGTGTCCTGCGAGTCTCCCGAATTCCGTCTGCAGACATATGTAACCCTCGCTCCGTCATCGCCCCCTTATAAAGTATCCTAAACTATTTGCGCCCCGCTTTTGCGCAGGGGTTGGGTACGTCGCCAGGGTAATTAAAAAGGTGAGTATACGTTGTGTGAACTTCAGGCGGCCACGAGGCGGCAAAGGGAGGCAACCTGGCGAAACATCGCCAGACCGACCCAGCGCACGAGGCGGCCGCACGAGGCGGCAACGGGCTGCAGCGTGACGGAACTGCTGAACCTCCCCAGTGCACGAGGCGGCCACGAGACGGCAACGGGCGACAACGTGGCGAAACCTCGCCGGACCAGGATGCAACGAGGCGGCAACGAGGTGGCAACGTGGCGAAACCTTGCTGGACCCCTCCAGCGCACGAGGCGGCAACGAGGTGGCAACTGGTGGCAACGTTGACAATCCCTGCCAGGCCCGACCACTTCCTTCGGGAGAGAAGCGAGATCCCCTAAGTGCAAGCAAGCACTGTTCAGAGCCGAAGCTTCACCACAGGAAGCACTGCACTGGCACAGGGCGGCCTTTTGGGGGGGAACTCTGTCTCGCCCGAGGCTCTCTCGGAGTTAATGGCCACAAGCGATAATTTGAGCAAAAGTTATATGGATGGTGTGCGACCCTTCTTCGAAAGGTGGATGTCGCTGGGCACCCCGTTCAAGGACACCGAGTTCAATTGTGCGATGATGTGTTCTCACGCTTTTGATTGCGCACCAGATGGGTGCAAATCATTTCGTCCAAGCGGGGCCACGTCCACAATGGCAGGCCAATCTGCGCTGGTCATCCAAGGGGACCGCCTCTTGCAGCGAAAACCAATGCACTTAGAGATGTGTGAGGAGGGGACTTGGGACGAGAGGCTGCACTGCAGCATCGCTGATGCACCTTGGGCTCGTTCTTGTGAATTGTGGGGGGTCGAGACGCGTTTCCCCTGTTTCACTGGACCGACATGCTTACCTGCAGCGCCGGCGTTTGGGCCCAAGCAACAGGAGCGCCTATCCCCCAGAGCAGCTGCAGCGGGAGATTGGCAGCAATAGCAAGGTACCGGTCGATTCGATCGAGCTCTCCGAGCTGAACCCGCCCCGACACGGTGAGGCTGATCGAGGGAGGGAGCACGAGTGATAACGAGGTTGGTAGCGGACCTCCGTGGTTGGCCCCCACGGACTCCAGGAGAGATTGCTGGGACTAGCCATCCCAACGAGCCATGGCGAGTGGAGATAATTACAACAGCGCGGCGGATCCCAAGATACCGGCGCTGAAGGGCGAGACCCTGGAGGACTTCACAAGGCACAAGAGGGCAGTGCAGGCGGCGGAGCTAGGACGTGAATCTAAGGAACAACGCGCCGCCCTAGGCCCGAAGCTGCATCGGAACCTCCTCGGCGCGGACAAGTGTATCAGCGTGCTGATCGAGCAAACGGATCCGAGGGACTACGCTGTCGAGGACGGTGCGAATGTGCTGCTCAAGTTTCTAGAGACCGAGCGCTTTGCGAAGAACAGTTTCCGTGAGTTGCCTAACGCGTTCGACGCTCTCTTCGACCTCACGCACTTCGGGGGGAAAAGCGAGGAGCCCATGGCAGCGTTCTGCACGGCCATGGAGGTGGCGAGGCGGAACTTAGAGGAGGTGGACCCGGACACGAAGATTTGTCCGAATGAGCTCGGGCACTACACGCTGAAGCGCAGCAGTCTGGGCAATGACGAGCGCAACCTGGTGATAGCGAGGGCGGACGATACGTTCAATTTCATCAAAATCTCAACGACGCTGAAGAACCTCTTCCGTCGCGGTGGAAGCAGGCTCCGAGGACAAGGCACTAGGGCGGTCTGGAAGTGGACGGCGCACGCGAACGAAACCGAGACTGGACAAACTGACGCAGAAGACCCGCACAACGGGGAGCACTGGGTCCAGGACGACGACGGGTACTGGTACGAGTGGGACGACGATCGCGGGTCTACGCGTGCACGGACGAGGGCGAGGAAGGCGACTGGGACAGCAGTCACCTGTTCTACCTCGAGGACGAAGCTGACGCGTTCTTGGCTGGAGAAGACGACGATTACCACAAGACCCTGGTCACGATGCGAGAGAGCCGCCTCAAGATGAACAAACGACGGGCGGCGATGGGATTCTTCACGGGAAGGATCGACGGCGTCGTGGGCGAGAGCGCGGCAGCCAGCGGTCACGCAGCTGGCAAGAATAGCGGGGAAGGCAAAGGCAGGGGCAAGAACGGCGGCAAGTCGAAGGACACGCGCTGCAACAGGTGCGGCCGGATGGACCACAACGCATCGGGGCGCCCAGCCAGCGGGCCATCGGGGAAGCCAGCCATGGGCGAGGGCCGCTGCAAGGGGTCGAAGTCAGCCCCTCGTCCACGACGGCTTGGTTTCTTTGCGGTGAGCGCTCTGGCGTGCGCAGCGCCGTCTTGCATGGGCGTCAGACAGCAGCTGCGAGGCCCGAACCTGAACCGCGTATACATGCGTTCCGAAACGGATTACGGCATCATGATGGTGAACCTGGATACAGATCCGTTTGCGCCGGACAGGCCCGAGCTCGAGGCGATGATCTCAAGCGACGTCGCGCCGGCGCCCCTGGTGGACAGCGGGGCCTCGATTGCAGTTGCAGGCCGCGGATTGCTTCATCGCGTCGAGGCGGAGCTCGCGAAGTACGGTCTGGAGCCCATCAAGGTGGAGGCCCGCCAGCAGTTCAAGGGACGCGGCGGAGCACAACGTGAGTCAAAGCAAAGGTGGATCATCCCGGTGGGCATCGGGAAGAAGCATGCGCCGCAGGAGCACTTCGAGATCCCCGGCGGCATGGTCGGCCTGACGAGCAGGAAGGACCTCACCGAGTGGAAGACAAGCCTTTGCACGCGCGAGGACGGCCGCTGGGCGGACTTCCAGTAGCTCGGGGTGCATGGCAAGGGGCTGCTGAAGCCACCTGGTGGGCATGCCGGCCTCGACCTCTTCGACCGCGACCTCGAGTTGCACGAGTCGGAGCCACTCTTCGAGAGGTTCCGCGTGCACGAGATGCAGCTCGAGCCAGACGCGTTCCCGGTCGCGAAGACGCTGCAGGAGTTCGAGCCGGGCTTCCAGATGAGGGAGCACGCCGAGTCGCGGGTCGCAGAGGCTCTGGAGAACGGCAGCAAGGGCAGATTCAAGAAGGGCACGCTCAAACGGATCGACAATTTGTTGAAGGGATATTAGGTTATGTCCGACGTACTGCGCGACAGCCAGGACACCTCCCCGTGGGAGCTGTTTGCGAAGGAGTCTCGTTTTACTCTTGTAGCCTCGAGGGGTGGTCATGCGAACGCGCGACCCCCTCAGATTTGCCGGTCGGGGTTCTCTTCAACGACCCCCAGACCCAGTCGGATTTCCTGTCCTTGATCAAAGACCTTCGAGCCCTGGATAGTCTCGGTCGCGCCCCCATGCACGCCTTTCTCGAGCGCGCAAGAGTTTCAGCGTGCTCAGGGCATGGGCGACCGGGTGGACGACCTAGTCGAGCATTTCAGGCCATTGGTTGATTTCTCGGCCAAGGTGCTTCGGACTCAGGCTGATGGTGGACGCATCGGCATCGGCGAGAACCCTCTGACCAGCCATGCTCGGAACGGGGAGTCGATTCTGGATTTGTTGCGGTGGCACGGTGAGCGACCTCCACTGTGAGAGATGGTCACGCCACACCAGTGCATGTTTGGAATGACGGATGATTAACCCTGACACCGATACGGAAGGCCACGCGCATGCTGGTGCCCAACGGCTCACGTTTTCCGTGGTGGCTCGATCGCAAGTGTGACCAGCGCCGCGAGAATGCCGACGCGGTCGGACGAAGCACTCTGCTATCGCGGGCCAGTGCCTGTCCGGAAGACCTGGGCAAGACCATGGCGAGCGTTGGCGCGAATGAGCTAACGCGGCGCACCGGCCTGAAGAAGCTGGGCATCGGAGACGGGGCGTGACGAAGGTCCCAGACCAGCGGACCACGCGCGCGGTGGCCAAGGATTTCAAGCTGAGGAAGGACCTGATCGACGTGCGCGCGCTGAGGCAGAACGAGGCCATTCCCCCGCCTCGCGGAGCTGCGCGGCGCATGTGCGCCGACAAGGGCGCGCCAGCCGATTTCTCCGACGCTTACGCGGACGACCCGAATTGCACGACGATCAAGCTGGCCACATGGTATCCAACCGACACGGTAGTCGCGATCTACTTGAAGAAGCCGATGGTTCAGACCTCCTTCCCCGCGGCGGTAACTTTACTTGGCAGCCCACCAGAAGCTTTCAAGCCCGACGATCGTGAAGCAGACGCAGTACATCGAGATCTCCATCGCGAAGGTGAAAGCTTCGGCGGCAAGCCTTCGGACATCACCGCGGCCCAGTGGCGCGCTCTGAGGAAGCTCCACCTGAACCTGAGTCACCCGTTGGCACACGCGCTGAAGCGACGCCTGAAGTCCTACGGGGTTGTGCAGAAGGTGCTCGACGCGGTGGACAAGTTGGACTGCGCCGTGCGCAAGGAGCTCAGTAGGCCCAGCACTACGAGGTCGGCCAAGCGGAAGCTCTCGACGGAGTTCAACGAGAACGCGTTTCTGGACGAGGCCGAGGCGATTCTCTCAGATAAGACACGGTTGATGGCGATGGTGATCCTGGATGACGCGTCGAGCCTTAGGGTCATCATCCCCACTGCGGCAGCGCGGCCCATCGCGGGCGAGGAGAGCCTTCGCTGTGTCTCGCAAGGATGGCTATCATGGGCTGGCCTTCCGAAGGTGCTCCACTACAGTGCAGCGAGGGGCCACGTCGCGCAGCGGTTCGCGGAGATCGGCGAGAAACACAACATTATGATGGGGCCGGTCCCGGCACAGGCGCCTCAGCTCAAAGGCAGAGTGGAACGGGCGATCGACTTCCTCAAGGACCATTTCCAGCGCCTGAACCGCGACGTGCAGCTCACCAAGAGTGACGACCCATTCGCGTGGACTTCGGTGATAGCGAGTGCGCGCAACAACCGCATCCGACGGACTGGTGCCACGCCATGCCAATACATTTTGGGGCGATCGCCCAACGTCCCGGCCTCGCTGATCGAGGCGATGGAGGGCGATCAGAGGCAGCTGGCGGCGCAGAGCGCAGCGCTCTTCGAGGGCGGCCCCAGGAGGGCCGAGTAGATTCGCGCCTCGGCGTACCGGGCGTTCTTCGCGCTGGACAGCGACGACGCCGTGAGAAGGGCCGCGGTTGGTCGGGTTCGCCCGCCGCGCGGGCCGTTCGTGCCGGGCCAGCTGGCACTCTACTGGCGTGAGGTGAAACACGTGAAGTCGAAGCGGCTCCAGGGCGAGCACGGGCGGCGCGGCCCGGCCATTGTGCTGGCGGCCGAGGGCCACGCCAGGCTGCACCTCAGCTACCGCGGGGTGCCGGTGCTCGCGACGCCCGAGCAGGCGCGGCATGCCTCTCGCGGTGAAGCCGAGATGGTGGAGAAAAAGGACCTCGCCAGGCAGCTGTCGCACTGGCGCGGAGGGCCTACCCTCCAGAGGGGCTTCGTGGACGAGCGCGGGCCTGGGCCTGACGGGAGCGGTGGCCAGCGCGACAGGCGTCGCAAGAAGGACTTCGGCGACTCAGACAACGAGGACGCCATGGGCGTCGCGCCGGCGACCAAAACGCCGCGGGCCGCAGAAGCTCCACTGCCTCCCCCGAGGAGGTCCGGGGCTACTCCCAAGCGGGAGATGCAGACAGAGGAGGAGGACGCGCCTGAACCTGGAGCGCTGCCCGAAGCACCACCACTACCTGGAGCTGGACACGACGTGCAAGACGTTAAAGATGAAGATGCACCCTGAGAGGGAAACGATATGCAAGAGATCACGGCGAACGACCCACCTGTGCCTGATGCAGCTGGGCAGGGGCGTGCCACGGACCTAGACGCGGTTGCTGTGCCAAGTACTTCGCATCAATTACCTGCGCAAGAAGTGCAGCCATAACTTGCGCCACAACCTGGCTCTCGATGGGCCCCTCTACAAGCGATCGCTACCTGGCGACTTCGAAGCCGATCGCGAACGACTTCGCGTGCGTCGCGAAGTTCTCAAGCAGAGTCGCCTCCCGAGGATCGAGGGCGACGAGGTTGACGACGAAGTTCTCTTCCTCAAGGTGAAGAATCGCTCGAGGGACGCATTGGCAAAGGGGACTGACACCGCGAAGCAGCAGGTCACCCCGAAGGAAAGTCGGGAGCTGCGCAGCATCCCGCCAAAATGGAAGACGGCATTCGAGGCGAGCGACTTGGAAGAATGGCGTAAGTGGATTCAGTACGACGCTGTGGAGTGGCCGAGTGAAGATGAGCTCGCGGGCGTCGGGAAGACGGACATCCTGCCCATGAGGCGCGTCCGCTCTGACCAGAAGGAGCCCGCGAGGGGAAGTCTCTCGCGCGAGCAACACCCGCTGAAGGCGAAGTCGCGGAACATCGTCCCGGGCTACAAGGACGAGCAGTTGTTCGCGGGCGAGTTGCAGACGAACGCGCCGACGCTCACAAACACGGCCACGATGGTGATCATCCAGGAAGCCGCCAGCCAGCCTGGCCGGAGCCTCGAGCAGGGCGACGTCGATTCGGCATTTCTGAATGGGAGATATATCTCGACAGCTACAGGCGCGTGTGCTTCCGCGTTCCCAAGGGCGGCATGCCTGCAGTGCCGGAGCTGGGGTGGCCGTTCGTCCCGGAAGGGACTGCCCTGAAGGCGAAGAAGGGCATCTACGGGTTGAACGATGCACCCCTGTTGTGGCACGAGGAGCATCGCGATGCCATCCCATCGCTTCCCGGGGCTTCGAGATCCAAGCTGCGCCCAGCCCTCCTCATCTTCCACGACAAGGGGGGGGAAGCTGATCGGTCTGATCAGGACACGCGTCGACGATGACCTCGTCGCGGGATCGCCCGAGTTCTTCGCGAATCAGGTGGCCAAGCTGAGGAAGGTGCACTGCTGCGGCAAGTGGCAGACGGCGAAGGTGGGGTTCCACCACTGCGGGCGCTTCCCCAAGCAGAACGACAACGGCACGATCACATGCCGCCAAAAGGAGTACACAGAGAGCACCGAGGATATTCCCATCTCGGCTGAGCGCCTGAAGGCCAAGGAGGCGAAGGCCACGGCGGAGGAAAGGGCTATGCTCGACAGCGGCAACAGCCAGATCCATCTGGCCTTCCCGCTGGTTGAAAGCCAAGCTCGGGCTCACGACAGCGACTTGAAGGTACAAGACCTACTGGGTTATAACACGCTCGTGAGCGACGCCGAGACCGACCACGTGGACATAACCTTCCAGAAGTTAGACATGGACAACGCGATTGCCGCGGCAGTGGGGGGCTCGAGCCACGGCAACGTGGGCAAGACGGAGACCGCTAGCCAGGCGGGCCTGCTCATCTTGTTCGCGGATAACACTGACGATCAGTTCGTGCGCGGGCAGCCTGCTAGGGTTACCCCGATGTTGTGGCGACCGCATTGCATCAAGCGGGTGGCACGGAGTACCCTGGCAGCCGAGACTATGGCAGCGCTGGAGGCGGTCGAGAGTGGCGACATGTTGAGACAACACCTGGTGGAGTTGCACCATGGGCTGGGCTACCGGGCCCACATGGACGACGTGCAGGCGAGCACATTTGTGGGGGCCACGGACTGCAAGTCGCTCTACGAGCTGCTCCAGAAGCGAGGTGTGGTCCCGTCCGAGAAGCGGCAGCTCATCGACATCGAGTCGCTCAGGAACGACATTGAGTTCAACGACGTGGCGAGCAAGTGAGTGCAAACCAAGCAGATGCTCGCCGACTGTCTTACCAGGCAGGACGTCCGCGCGGGCGACTACATGAGGTATGCGCTTCGAACGGGCGAGTGTTGTTTGACGGGGGACCCCATGGCAGAGCAGGTGATCTCCGAGCAGCGGATGGAGCTGAAGGGTCGCAGGGGCGAGTACTGCCGCTCGAAGTACCCTCGTCGACATCGACCTGCCGATCAGCCTTTTGCAGGGGAAGGCGACGCGTACTTCGAGGACTGCATCGCGGATCTGAGGTACAATGCGCATGCAGCTCGACCTGCCCCCAAGCACTACCTCCGTTGGCGGGTGATGCTGGGCCAGCGCGAGGACGGCATCTACTACGAGAAGCTCAAGGGCGTGGTCGGCTGGTCTGGACTGGACCAAGTGGCGAAGCGTCGGAGGATTTCGACCCATGCGCGTAAGCTGTTGACGATATACGCGCCGACCAAAGAGGCCGAGCGCCACGAGAAGGACTTCACGGAGAAGCACAACCTGGAAAAGACGGACACGACCAAGGACATCGAGCACCACGAGGACGCGAATGCCATTTCGGACGAGGGTGTGCCGGTGGAGTCGGACGAGAACTAGAATACGGACGGCGCGGCGGACCTGGGCAACTCGAAGGAGATCTACATGATGGACGCCGTGGGTGCCGAGACCGAGGAGATCGGAGGAGGCGGCGGTGGAGCTGGTACAACGCTGGCGGCGCGTGCGGCGCGCCGGATGGCGGTGGACCAGCGCGAGTGTCAGCCGAGGACTCGCAAGAAGGCCAACCACAACATCGCTGCCCCGAACGATGGCGATGAGTGGGTCGAGATTCCAGGCGAGCCGAGCAGTTCGGAGGATCGGCAGACAGGAAGAAGACGACGGAGTTACCGATGGATAAGGCTCGCAGACTACATGAGTGCTTGCAGCACACATTCTACAAGCAGGTGGGAGCATGACCTGGGCGACGCGCTGGAGGATGATATCCTCCAGGAGCACCAGCTGGTGGTCGCAGGATGGAGCAAGTGCCGCCAGGCTAGTCGCGACACAGAAATGATCCCAAAAGGCAAGAGCAGCGAGAAAGGAAAAGGCAAGTCACGGGCTACATGCAGAGTGGACCCAGATGAGTGTGTACATCGAGCTGCTCAGCTCACGACTGTGGGTACCAACCAGTACAAGGAGAAGGTACGCTGCCGCCTGTGTGACACACTGGTCGTGGACCGAGACACGAAGTGTTGGTCCGAGGAGAAGGAGCTTCGTGCAGAGGTCAAGGCGATCCGTCTCGACAAACAGAAGCAGGAGCTCTTGACACGGTCGAGAGCATCGACGGCGGACGATCCTCGACGGGATGAGACACTACATGACGCAGTCGCTCGTGAGCGAGCGGCACCTCCATATTGATACATCTTTCTTGTTCTTTGTTGAACTGAGCCAGCGTCGGTTCGCAGGCAAGCTTAGTCAGAGAGTAATATGAGTGTGAATTTTGGGGGGTCAAGACCCGCTTGCTTTTGTTTCACTGGACAGACATGCTTACCTGCAGCGCCGGCGTTTGGGCCCAAGGAGCGCTTATCCCCCAGAGCAGCTGCAGTTGGAGATTGGCAGCAATAGCAGGGTATCGGTCGATTCGATCGAGTTCTCCGAGCTGAACCCACCCCGACACATTGAGGCTGATCGACGGAGGGAGCACGAGTGAGAACGAGGGTCCTGGTCTTCATCTTTCCCCTCGTCCTTCTCCTCCTCCTCCTCCTCCTCCTCCTCCTCCTGCTCCTCCTCCTCATCGTCCTCGGATCTGTGTTTTACCAATCAACATGTTATCCGTGAGAAGTTTCGACGACTGAAGTCCGCGCCCGAGAAAAAAACGATGTGGTGTGCCTTCAGGAGTCCCACGGTATTGGATCAGATTTGGAGCAGTTGAGAAAAGATCACAAAACCCATCGTCCGTTTGGTTCCTTGTGTGCTTCTGCCTCTGCTGGCGGCCTGCTCTTTTTCATATCTAAGCAGTTGCTGGTTCAGCTTCAGGTCGTGAACTTGCATGTAGCTGTTCCAGGGCGCATTGCCTACCTCCTCCTGCAGGGTCCTCTTCCTCCTCGTCTTTCCCCTACTCCATGTTTCTCTTCCTGCTCCTCCTCCTCCGCCTCCTCTCCTCCTCCTCCTCCTCCTCCTCCTCCTCCTCCTCCTCCTCCTCCTCCTCCTCCTCCTCCTCCTCCCCGGGGGGCCAGCGACTCGAAGGACGCCGCGGGGTCCCCGGGGTGCGCGCCGCGCTCGCTGGCCCGCCGCCGCCGTCGCGCCAGCGCCGACTTGCCGCGCCCCCCCCAGCCGCCGCCAGCCGCCGCCAGCCGCGCGCGCGCGCCGGTTTCTGGCGAAGCTCAGCCGCCGCCGTTTGTTTGCTATTCCTCCTGTTTGGTCTTCCTCCTCCTCCTCCTCCTCCTCCCTCCTCCTCCTCCTCCTCCTCCTCCTCCTCCCCCTCCTCCTCCTCCTCCTCCTCCTCCTCCTCCTCCTCCTCCTCCTCCTCCTCCTCCTCTTTCTCCTCCTCCTGGGCCACGCCCTCCGCAGCGCACGCAGGAGCGGAGGCGGCTGCTGCAGGACCTGCAGTCCTGCAACGACTCGGAGAAGCGCGAGAAGTACAACAGGCCCCACCTCGGTCGCCCCATACAGCAGGCAGGTCTAAGTCAGAAAGCTGGCCTGGCAGTAGGCGCCCCACGCAAATGACTTATCCCCCGATGGCCCCAGTAATAAGTCGGGCGCGTCTTTCTGCAAGAGGAATATGCAACAATAGTCCAAAAATAGTCTGGGGAAGACTTCTTGCACATGTTTGACTAGTTTGGTGCATGTTTTGACTATTTGTTGTTTGGCCTCCAAAATCCGCTTGCAGGAGGACATGTCCGACCAAACCAACCCCAGCAACCCAGAGAAGCTTTGGGGCAGGTCAGGACCGACAAAGATCGACGAATAATGTGCCCACATGTTTATGATAGCAAGACTTCTCATCGCATGCGTCTACAGTGCTGCTACTGGTCCCCATTCTGAGCGCCAGGGCGGGGGGCGGGGCGTGGATAAAAGTTTCGGCCCTGGATGTCGCAATTTCTATCCATACCGCCACTCTGGCTCCTCGGCGGGCATGGGCGTGAGCAGGGGCATGGATAAGACTTCGATCGCCTCCCGCCAGACGAAGTTAGAGGCTCGAGGTCTGGGGATGCTTGTATGCATGTTTTGTGTGGGTGGGAGTGGGAGTGTAAGCGTGGGTGGGAGTGTGAGTGTGGGTGTGAGTGTGAGTAGGAGTGTGAGTGTGAGCGTGAGTGTGTTAATGCGAGTGTGGTGGTGAGTGCGAGTGTGAGTGTGCGTGTGCGTGTGCGTCTGAGTGTGCGTGTGAGTGTGACTGTGGACTGTGACTGTGACTGTGATTGTGTGTGTTGTGTGTGTGTGCGTGCGTGCGTGCGTGCGTGTGTGTGTGTGTGTGTGAATGTGTGTATGCGTGTGTGTGTGTGAGTGTGTGTGAGTGTTTGTGTGTGTGCGTGCGTGCGTGCGTGCATATGTGTGTGTGTGTGCGTGTGTGTATGTGTGTCTGTGTGTCTGTGTGTCTGTGTGTCAGTGTGTCAGTGTGTCAGTGTGTCAGTGTGTCTGTGTCTGTATCAGTGCCTGTGGCTGTGTCTGTGTCTGTGCCTGTGCCTGTGTCTGTGTCTGTGTCTGTGTCTGTGTCTGTGTGGGTGGGTGGTGGGTGGGTGGGTGCGTGGGTGGGTGGGTGGGTTGGTGGGTGGGTGGGTGTGGTGTGTGTGTGTGTGTGGGTGTGTGTGTGGGTGTGTGAGTGTGTCTGTGTGTCTGAGTGTCTGTATGTCTGTGTGTCTGTGTGGCTCTGCGGCTGTGCGTTTGTGTGTCTGTGTGCCCTTGTGTCTGTGTGTCTGTGTGTCTGTGTGTGTCTGCGTGTGTCTGTGTTTGCCTGTGTGTGTCTGTGTGTGTGTCTGTGTGTGTCTGTGTGTCTGTGTGTGTGTGTCTGCGTGTGCCTGTGTTTGTCTGTGTGTGTCTGTGTGTGTCTGTGTGTGTGTCTGTGTGTGTGTCTGTGTGTCTGGTTGTGTCTGTGTGTGTCTGCGTGTGTCTGTGGTTGCCTGTGTGTGTGTCTGTGTGTGTGTCTGTGTGTGTGTCTGTGTGTGTTTGTGCGTCTGTGCGTCTGTGCGCCTGTGTGTCTGTGTGTCTGTGTGCCTGTGTGTCTGTGTGAGTCTGTGCATATGTGCGTCTGTGCGTCAATGCGTCTGTGCGTCTGTGCGTCTGTGTGTCTGTGTGTGTGTGTTTGTGCGTCTGTGCGTCTGTGCGTCTGTGCGTCTGTGCGTATGTGCGTCTGTGGTTTAGCGTGTCTGTGTGTCTGTGTGTCTGTGTGTGTCTGTGTGTGTCTGTGTGTGTCTGTGTGTGTCTGTGTGTGTCTGTGTGTGTGTCTGCGTGTGCCTGTGTGTGTCTGTGTGTGTCTGCGTGTGTCTGCGTGTGTCTGTGTGTGTGTGTGGTTGAGTGTGTGTGTCTGTGTGTGACTGTGTGTGGGTGTCTCTGTGTGTGTGTCTGTGGGTGTCTGTGTGTGTGTGTCTGCGTGTGTCTGTGTGTGTGTCTGTGTGCGTGTGTCTGTGTGTGTCTGTGTGTGTCGGTGTGTGCCTGCGTGTGTCTGTGTGTGTCTGTGTGTGTCTGTGTGTGTGTCTGTGTGTGTCTGTGTGTGTCTGTGTGTCTGTGTGTCTGTGTGTGTCTGTGTGTGTGTGTCTGGGTGTGTCCGTGTGTGTGTGTGTCTGTGTGTGTCTGTGTGTGTCTGCGTGTGTGTCTGTGTTTGTGTCTGTGTGCGTGTCTGTGTGAGTCTATGTGTGTCTGGGTGTGTCTGTGTGTGTGTGTGGGTGTGTGTCTGTGTGGGTGTGTGGATGTGTGTGTGCGCGCGTGCGGGTGTGTGTCTGTGCGTCTGCGTGCGGGTGTGTGTGTGTGTGTGCGTGTGCGTGTGCGTATGCGTGTGCGTGTGCGTGTGTGCGTATGTGTGTGCGTGCGTGCGTATGTGCGTGTGTGCGTGTGTGCGTGTGGGTGTGTGGGTGTGTGGGTGTGTGGGCGTGTGTGCGTGTGTGCGTGTGTGCGTGTGTGCGTGTGTGCGTGTGTGCGTGTGTGGGTGTGTGGGTGTGTGGGTGTGTGGGTGTGTGGGTGTGTGTGTGTGTGTGTGCGCCCGTAGCCTGGCTCAAGGCGCGAGCGCCCCCCCCCCCCTCCTCGGGGGCTCCCCGCATTCACAGGGGCGCCCGACGCAAGGGGCCCCGTCCCCGCGGCCGCCGCCCCCCGCTGGCCCCCGCGGCCTCCCGCCCCCCCTCGGCATTGGCGCCTGGCCTAGCCATGGACCTCGAGGGGGGCCTCCCTGGACGAGAACCCCCCCCACTGGAGAACCAGAGGGTTTGTGTGGGGTGCGGGGGAAGTTCCAGTTTGGGGCGTCAGTCTGTCGTCTTCTTTGTTCTTGGTGTTGTTGTTGGTGGTGTTGTTGAACATTATTTATTCTAAAGAATAATTATTGTTGGGCCCCCTGGTGCGCGCCCCCCCTGCGCCGCCTAGGCCGCAGCTACATTTTCATCATTTTCGTGAGGAAGCCTCAGAAAAGAGGGTGTGTACAGGATCCGGTTGTTTTGTTGTAATCCGCTTTCCCTTGCAAAAAACAATAGAAAATGACATTTCTTGTTCTAATATAATCAAATTTCAAGAATCCCTTGCAAAAAATAAGGTAAAGTGGACATTCGCGCGCGCAAGACGAAATCCTTCCAAAACCTTAGTGTTCGCAGCGATTTTAACATAAAAACATCAAAAAACCAATGGTTTTTCAACAAACAAATTGTCAAAATCTCATCCCGCGCGCTCTTGCGGATTCGTAGGAAACCCAACACTTTTTAAACATTTCTGTCAAACGGGCTTTTGCGAGCAACTTTTTCGAACTTCTGCGACAACGGTTGCGCACCTGCCAGGGCCATCATCCCTGTCAAATAATACCATGCGGGACACATTCGTTTTTTCTTCGCGCGCGCACGCCGTCGTCGTCGGCCGCGGGGCCCTGAATAGTAGCCACGGTCGTCCGCATGCCACGAAGTGAAGTGTCCGAACGTCATAGGGCGGGAAGCTGGGTGTGGGTGGTGGCGAAGAGTCGTTTGGAAATTTGGTAGAGCTTGAACCGGCCCCCCCACAAAGTGGGGGTATTGCCCGCCTCCTATGAAAACCCTGGCACTGGTGAGAACGGAGTGTCCCCAGTCTTAAATGATTGGTGTTGTTGTTGTTGCTGTTGTTGTTGTTGTTGTTGTTGTTGTGGTTGTTGGTGTTGTTGTTGTCGTCTCTCTCTCTCTCTCTCTCTCTCTCTCTCTCTCTCTCTCTCTCTCTCTCTGGGGATGTGCACAGCCTGGGGGCTACCTCACATTCCCAGGGACCTGGCACCGACGAATTTTCGCAAGGCACCAACACCAGTTCTGGGAACCCAGTTGACGGGACTCCCTGCCAGCCAGGACAGCTGAGCTCAGCGGCCCGATGCCCTCCAGCGGACACAGCGGCGCCGCCACCAGCCCCCAGAGGAGCACTACTGCAGGAAGTGGTGCGCACGGGGAGGCGCAAGAGGACCCGTGCGAGGAGCTGCTCCCAGCCCGTGGCCCCCGTCGGCGGCAGCCCCCCGCGCGCTCGACATTCGGGCTGGAGACCCCTTCTGGCAACGTGAGCGTGGGACGGGCGCCTGCCCTCCCTGCCCCACTGCTGCGCCGCGTGGAACAGGGAGGCGCGCGAGATCTCCCGCTGTCTGCCGCGCGCCCCCCGCGCGCCACGGAGCCCTCTTTGCAGGAAGCTCGGATGCAGGCTGCAAGGAGGGCCCCCCACTCTCTGCAATTGACCATGCACCAGGTCGGTGCCCCCCACGGACTGGGCGGACGGGAATAAAAGAGAGGATAGTCCCCCCCACACAGGCTTACATGTGCCCTCCGTGGGCCGAGGAGCCCCCCACCCCAGGTGTTCCCCTGGCTGCAGGGGCCCCCCCCCCGCATCAACAGGGACCATGCACCCAGTTCGGCGCCCCCCCGCGGATAGGGAGGACGGGGCCGCAGGAGAGGAGAGCCCCACCCCCCGCCCTCAGGCTTACGCTCGCCCTCCGTGCGCCGAGGAGCACCCTCCCCAGGGCGCCCCCCTGGCCGCAGGGAGGGCTCCGCTCGTCAACAGTGACCATGCACCAGTTCGGTGCGTCCCCCTTGGCATGGAGGAAGGCGGGGGGGCCGAGACGGAAGGATCCCCCCCAGAAGGTCGGCGGCTCTCCGCGCACCGAGGAGCCCCCCCCCCCCTGCAGGACGCCCCGCCTCTGCGCGACCCCGCGGGCAGGGAGGACGTCGTGGGCAAAGCGGAAAAGGCCCCCCCCCTCTCAGGTCCCCGCGCGCCCTCCGTGCGCCGAGGGGCCCCCCACCCAGTGGGCTCCTCTGGCTGCGGGGAGGGCCCCCCGCTATCAACAGTGACCATGCATCAGGTCGGCGCCCCCCCCCACGGACAGTAGGGAGGATGGGACCAGAGGAGACCAGAGCCTCCCCCCCTCCTTGTTTACGCTCGCCCTCCGCGCGCCGATGAGCCCCCTCCCCAGGGAAGTCCTCTGGCTGCAGGGAGGGCTCCCCATACCAACAGTGAGCATGCACCACTTCGGTGCTCCCTCACTGACAGGGACGACGGGATTGGAGGAGAGGAAAGCCACCCCCCCGCAGGTTTACGCACGCCTCCCGCGCGCCGAGGAACCCGCCTCCCGGGGAGCTCCTCTGGCTGCAGAGAGGGCCCCCCGCACCAACAGTGACCATGCACCATTTCGGTGCCCCCCTAGAGGCAGGGGCGACCCAGGGGGGACAGAAGAGATGTCCTCCCCCCAGGCCAACCGACGCCACCCGTGCGCCGCGGATGCCCCGTTACGGGGCGCTCCTCAGAACGCAGCGAGGGCCCCCCATCGCCCCCTTGACCACGCACCAGTTCGGTGCGACCCCGATGGCAGCGGAAACACAGCGGATGGCAGACAGAGAGTCCCCACGGATTAGCGGACGCCCCCCGCGCGGCGCGGATTGCTTCGCAGGGAGGGCTCCAGCGCGCGCAGGGAGTGTTCAGAACCCACGCTCCTCCTCCCGAGGACCTGTCACCGAGCGAACGCGCCGGATCCCCCCATGCAGTGACAGCACGCCGCCCGCCGCTGGTACGGACGATGCTGCCGATGGACATGCGGGGCCCCATCGGGAGCGCTGCCGACCCTCCAGAGCCCCCCCTGGCATGGGGAGGGCCCCCAAGACGAAAACGGCGCGCCAGGAAGCTGCCCAGGACCTCGGGTCGGACCGCGAACTGACGGCCAATGGAGCCGCTGGTCTGGAGAAAGCTGTCTCTTTTCTCGCTCCTCCGAGTGCCGATGCTGCCTCGCAGTTCGCTCCCCGCCACCGCCAAGCGAGTTAAGGCCCAAGGGCGCGTGCGCCTGTCGATCCGATCGGCGCCGTTCCCGCCCTGTCTGTCGACCCAGTTTTTTGTTTCGCGCCTCCTTAAGTGTTGGCCGGAGCTGGCCTGCAACATCAGCGTCGTCCGCACTTGGGTTGGCGCGGCCGCAGAGACGCACCAGCCAACGCCAAGCATTCATCGCAATCGCCGCCACATGGGTTTTGCAAACCCAGTTGCGGACGGGTGGGTGGGACGTTTGCACGAGCATGGGATGCGTCAAGTCTTTTGTAAAGAATCAGTTGCACCACATAGACTGCATTACATATATTGCACAATGCACCACGCAGCCGACACCCAGAACGCAAGACCTCCTGCTCGGGGCCCACACTGGCAAAAATTTCTCGTGGACGTGAGCAGCGCGCCGGCTCATCCCACGGAACGCTTCCCGACAACAGGTTTGAGCGCACTGCCCGCGGCCGTTTCGGCTCGAACCGGTCTGGCTCCACGGGGGGGCGCAGGTAGGCCCCCGCAGCGCGGCCGCGGCGGGGATGGTCGCGGCGGCTCCTCCGCTCTCGCGGGCCGTCGGCGCGCCTTGGGACGGCGGCGGCGACAACGAGTCGGAGGCCGACGCGGAAGAAGCGCCCCTCTTCGGCGGCGCCGCGGCGGCGGGCGGCGGCGCCGCAGCGGCGACTGGGGGGCGCGGGCTGTACTTCGGGATCAAGCAAGGGTCTGGCCAGCGTAGTCGGGTCGGCTGAGTCCCCTCAGGGGATGCTTGGGAGGCCCGAGCACTGGTCTGACTCGTTGTGGCCCCGAAGCAGCAGTTCCACGGCTGATCGGTCAGTTCAGTGCTCGGGCGCCTTTGGCGGCACTCAAGCGAGTGCCTCGGAGCTCAGCTCTGACTTGATTGCATTTGAGATCCATTTATCCACCAGATCCTTGCCAAGCCAACCTTCAGTCCAGGATCGGCCAGGAGAGAGTGCTCATTTACCCTGGGCCCAGGGTCGGCCTTGCCAGGACCAGCAGTGGTGTTCAGTTGGAGCCCGTTTTTCCCAACCTGAGGTGCTGGGTCCTCGTTTAAATGCTCAGCGCCCCGCGGCACTCCTTCCTCCCTCATCCTTCTTCCTCCCCCTCCTCCCTCATCGTCGTCATCGTCATCAGCAGCATCATCATCAGCAACAGCAACAGCAGCAGCATTGTCATCATCCTCATCATCAGCAGCAACATCATCGTATCCTTCATCATCATTATCATCGTCATCAGCATCAACCTGGTCATGGTCATCATCGGCATCAGCATCCGCATCGGCATCCTCATCAGCATCATCATCATCGTCATCGGTACCAGCATCTTCTGCATCCTCATCATCATCAGCATCATTGTCACCCTCATCATCAGCTTCATCCTCATCACCATCAGCAGCATCATCATCGTTCGTCGCCAGTATCGCCGTCAACATCATGAACACCATTACTAGCATCATCAGAATCATCAGTTTGATAATAATCAGCATCACCACCACCACCGTCATCATCATCATCAGCATCAGCATCATGATGATCGTCACCATCATCAGCACCGGCATCAGCCCCAGCATCATAAATCATCACCATCACCATCACCTTACCATTTGTATCAGCAGCAGCAGGCAGCAGCATCATCAGCATCAGCATAAGCACCATCATCACAAGAAGCATCATCATGGGCAGCATTGCCGACATCAGCATCATCATCGTCAACAACACCACCGCCATCAGTGTCATTACCGCCCTCATCATCATCATCATCATCATCATCATCATCATCATCATCATCATCATCAGCATCAGCATTAGCATCAGCAGCATCAGCTGCATCACCATCAACATCACCAATATCCGAGTCAGGACCATCATCGTCGCCGTCGTCAGTTTCACTACCGTCACCACCATCAGCATCAGCAGCAGCAGCATCTGCGTCCGCATCATCATCATCATCATCATCATCCTCATCAGCAGCATCATCAACAGCATCAGCATCAGCAACGCCATCAGCAGCATCATCAGCATCATCGTCATCCGCATCAGCATCAGCGCCATTACCGTCATCAACATCATCAGCAACAGCATCAGCATCAGCATCAGCATCATCATCGACATAATCACGATCAGCCGCACGAGCATCAGCATCAACATCAGTATCAGCCTCCGACGCACATATGTCGGCATTCCCTCACACGTTTCGTGGCCCCGTAGGGAGCTCCCCCGAAGGCCCCAGTGGGAGGGCCCACATGCCACCGCCGTGCCTGTTTGGGCACACCCCTCACGTTTAGTGGCCTCGTAGGGAGCTCCATCGAAGGTTCCAGTGGGAGGGCCCGCATGCCACCGCCGCGCCCATTTCGGCACACCCCTCACACGTTGCGGCCACGTAGGGAGCTCCCCCAGAGGCCCCAGTGGGAGGGCCCGCATGTCACTGCCGCATCCATCCAGCACACCCCTCACACGCTCCGTGGCCGCGTAGGGAGCTCCACCAAAGGCTCCAGTCGGAGGCCCCGCATGCCACCGCCGCGTCCAGTTCGGCATACCCCTTACACGTTTTTCGTGACCTCGCGTGGAGCTCCACCGAAGGCTCCAGTCTGAGGGCCCGCATGCCACCGCCGCGCCCACACACACACACACAGAGACACACACACCTCACGGCCCGTGGCCCCGCAGGGAGCTCCACCGAGGCTCCAGCCGGACGGCCCGCATGCCACCGCCGCGCCCACTTCGGCACGCAGACACACAAAGACACAAGCCCACACGCACACACACACGCACACACACACACACACACGCACACACACACACACACACACACACACACACACACGCACGCACGCACGCACGCACGCACGCACGCGCACACACACACACGCACACACACCACACACACACACACACGCACACGCACACGCACACGCACACACACACACACTCACGCACACACGCACACGCACGCACACGCACACGCACACGCACACGCACACGCACACGCACACGCACACACACACGCACGCACGCACGCACGCACGCACACACACACACACAGACACAGACACAGACACAGACACAGACACAGACACAGACACAGACACACACACACACACACACACACACACACACACACACACACACGCACACGCACACGCACACGCACACGCACACGCACACGCACACGCACACGCACACGCACACGCACACGCACACGCACACGCACACGCACACGCACACGCACACGCACACGCACACGCACACGCACACGCACACGCACACGCACACGCACACGCACACGCACACGCACACGCACACGCACACGCACACGCACACACACACGCACACACACACACACACACACACACACGCACACGCGCACACGCACACACGCACACGCACACGCACACGCACACGCACACGCACACGCACACGCACGCACGCACGCACGCACGCACGCACGCAAACACACACACACACACGCACACACACACAAACACACACCACGCTTTGTGGACCCGCAGGTAGTTCCACCGAAGGCCCCACTGGGAGGGTCCGCACGCCACCGCCGCACGCATGCCGGCACACCCCTCACACGTTTCGCAGCCCCGCAGGGAGCTCCACCAACGGCCCGCAGGCTCGTGGGGAGCTCCACCGAAGGCCCCAGTGGGAGGGCCCGCGACGCTGCCCCCGTGCCCCAACCCTTTCTGTGGCGCGCTGCCTGGGAGGAGAGGACCGCCTTCGACGCCATTTGCAGTCTGACGGCCCCCTCGTTCGTTCCATTTGCCTTGCGGGACTCGCAGCTTCATATTCTTGGGTCATTCGCCAGCTTGAGGGGCCAATTTTCCGCCACCACTACCACAGGTAGGACGGGGGAGGAGGGAGGATGGAGAGGGCCTCCGCCTCCTCCTCCTCCTCCTCCTCCTCCTCCTCCTCCTCCTCCTCCTCCTCCCTCTGCTACCCATGGCAGTGGCGGTGGAAAATCGACCCATCACAGGCTAATGCAAAACCTCTCGCGACGACGGCCGTGGCCACATGGCGGGGAGGGAGGGGGGGCGGTAGCGTCATGATTCGCGCCGGCGAATTGGCTGCCCCTACACAGTTCCCAGACCGTGCTTGCTCGAATTGTGACGTCACCAGGGGTGGAAAGGAGGGCGTCCCTGGAGAATGGGCGTCAGCCGCGCAGAGTCCTCCTAAGAAGCTGCCTGTGTAGCGGCAGCCACGTGCAACGATGTAGCAGATGAATGATGTCGCCCGTTATCGCGCATCGCTTTTGCATCTCATACAAAGGGACGCTCTTGTGGCGGCGCCCACAAGGGGGGGTGCGCGAGGGGGGGTCTGAGAAGGCGGCGGGGCTTTCGAGAAGGCAGGGGGCCTCTCAGCAGCCCGCCCTGCCTCCAGAAAGCCTTCTCAGGAGCCCCCCGTGGCCTTCGACAGTCGAGGCGCTGAAGAAGGAACCCTTTTCGTTGGGAGGGGGCTCCATGGGTCCTGAACTGTTTCGCAGCTTGCCCTAGGTGTTCCTTAGCTTTTCGATTGGGAATCGAAGCTTAACCTATGGACAAAAGGGGTCTCGTTCTTTACGGTGGGGGTGCTGGTTGAGGAATGCGCCCAGGAGGCTTCGGACCCTGGAGGCTTCCTTATCTGATGAGGGCGGCGGTGATATCCATGGCCGATCCACGAGTGGAGTTCCACTGGCTTCCAGATCCTGGATTCCTTCCCCAATGGTTCCTTATCTTAGCTGCTCGTATACGCGCGTTTGAAACGTAACACGTGCCGTGTTCAAAACGTCCGTGCTCGAACCGTACGTGTTCAGTCTACGTGTTGGGCTCCGTATCAATACGCTACGTGTTGCGTGTTGCGTACCGGGGCAGCTAATTTCCTTATTCCATGCCCTCACCGTATGTAGGGCTGCTGAGGTCAACGCCGCGACTGTGAGGAGGCTCGTACCCTCCTCCGAAGGAAGGCGGCCCCTCCCGCGCCCACCCCTTTCGTGGTTTCGCCGCCGGACGACCGAGCTTTCCGTCTTACGATCCGCGACAACAGAAGAGTCTTCAGCCCAGACGACCCTGGATTCCTGATCGAAGGTTTCCTTATCCAATGCCCCCACTGTATGTCCGTAGCCATTTTGGCTCAAGGCAATGAACCGTCCCGACGACCGCGAGTCTTTCGGGGCGACTAAGCGCGAGGGAGGTTCTGCTTTGAGGCTACCTTCCTTTCCAACAAGTGTGAGCTGCCACTGCAGCACCCTGGACCTGCGGGTCACGGCTTCTTCTGTGTCGGCGGGTCCGCCCCCGTCGGCACCTGCCTGCTGCACGCCCGCGGCTGTGCAGCGCGCCCGCCCGTTCCGGCGATGGGGCCGAAGGCCGAGCCTGGCTTCGTCGTGTGCACGGGCTGCCGTTTCCGCTGGAACTTCCGCAGGAATGCGAAGTGCTGGCTGTGCGGGATCGGGCTGGAGCTGGCGCCCTCGAAGCCTTCGCCCCGCGTCGGGGTCTGGGCGGACGACGGCGGCGGCGGCTCCCAACCCGCACTGCGAGGAGGCGGCAGCGGAGGCCCACCGAAGAATGGCGCCAAGGGCGGCAAGGGCGGCAAGGGCCGTGGAGGAGCCTCCCGTGGCGGCGGTGGTGGTGCAGCCTCCCGCGGCGGCGGCGGGGGCGCGGGTGGCCGTGGCGGAGGCGCCT